AGAACTTATTGGTAATGCCAAAGCTATAAAGTTCAAAAATCTCACCAGCTCTTTGATGAGTGATAAACTTCTGAAACTCTGTCTTCTTATGACTTGTCTCATCGTATTCCCTTGCACCTTTTTTCTCATTATTGGTCACCTCTGTCATAAATGGAAAAGTCAAACATGCGTAGTGTTTGATGTTCATTCTTGTATTTACTAATGCAATGAAATATATAAACAATCATTGACTATCTGAGGTTTAATTATACACACCTTGGGCAAATCCTTAATTAATGCAATGAAATATATAAACAATCATTGACTATCTGAGGTTTAATTATACACACCTTGGGCAAATCCTTAATTGCATCCACAAGGGTTAGAGCTGCATGTGTCCAATTGTAGGAGATGTTTTTGGTCATGTCCCACTTTTTATTTCTGCTATTACAACATATTCATAACCTATGCAGAGTAATGTGAAAAGGTAAAAGTGCAAATTCTCCCAAAGTTAGCACTTGCCTTAAACTCTGTAGGGATGACGCCTGTGATGTCAAATTTGTGAGTTGGCAAAGGATATGGAGGCAACTTCTGTTAATCAAAATAATAAAGATCATCTTGAATAACACATCTAAATATTATATTTAGAAAAAAACCATTATGTAACTACGGTTGTAGGTTGAGTACCCCACAAGAAACTCGGTTCCTACATTGAGTACCCCTAATCGTGTCTGGTAGATCATATTTACCAAACAAGCTATAGCGTAGCGAGCAAGAAACCCTTTTGAGAACTAAATTAGGCCTACAACATTCTCCTTTAAGACATACTTGGGCTTCAAGTAATCTATCTATGATATCCATGTAAACCACTAATTAACGGTTTTTCTCATCTCCAAGTGGATTATCTGCCATCCAATATGGATTATCTGCCATCCAATATCCTGATAACAATACAAAAGTTATGAGAGAGTGGCAACTATATATATTTGGAGGGAAAACGAAACTTACTAAGATGATTGACTTACACGAACTGGCAATAAGTTTAACTTGAACCTTTTGTTACAAACTCTTTCAATTTGCCTTTACATTTTCTGAAGAAAATCATATTTAAATTATTCGAGAATAATATGAAATGGTCTAAGCCATAAAGTGAAAAAAAAAACAAACTGTAATTGATTATAAGGCTCCCAACTATCTTCATTTGGATCACTATATATAACCCTTATAAGTTCTAACGCACATAACGTACAATGAAACATTTCAGAAAATTGATGGTTAAGTTAATAAATTTTGTCTAAGAAGTTATAACAAAATGACCACAACAAATTTACCTCGGTTTCATGGTGATGGATTGCATACTTCTACAACCAAATTTTTTGATATCTACACAGCCCATTCCTGAAAAAGGGAGAGTGAAGTATAAACATCTTTAATTCTAAAGTAAACTTGTATCATACATCATAAATAGTTAAATACAACACAAATTTTCATCGCACCACTTACCAATGTAGGACCAAAAAAATAAAAGTAACAATTTAATCACGAATATTGAAATAAATGTTACAAGAAAAGAGAGTTTAAAACCGATGAAAAACGATCACATAAACGAATCAATAGAGGCAAGATAACGCTCTTTCCAAAACTCAAAGAATCGTCCGTAGTGCAATGGAAAATATCGATTTAAGAGGCCTAGGATACAACCTATTGAATTGGTTATCGCGACACTTGATAACAGATCTATCGAACTAAATACTACATTACTCTCGAAGACTTACTCTTACTGAGAGGGAATTTAATGAATTTTTTTTTTAGTTTTCAGGTGTGTTTTTGTGTGTAAACGGATGTCTTTCTCTCAAGAGAAAAATACATATATAGTGGGAAAGAGAGCTAGGGTTCGGCCTTATTGATTAAGTTTCACCGATTTGAACAACACACTGAATATTTTAAAAGGACGGCGATCTAAAATTGATCCAAAGAATAATTACTCAAAGGTCCAGTGACCAGCAACCTATAAAATCCCAAAAGCTATAAGAGCCAATAAAAAATCAATGAGTAACAAACCATGAGCCACGACCAGGTCAGGCGGCGGCAATGACACGCGTATGGTTTTTTTTCCTCTTCATCTCACTTTGACAAAAAGATATAACTTAGTCCTTATTTATATCACTCTAAATTTTTTCAAACTACCAATATAGAACTTTTGACATATCCTTATTTAAATTAACCAAATCATAAAGCTTTTTCATTTAGCTCAAAAGTTCATTTCAATTCACACACACATTTTTATAAAAACTGTTCTAACAATTAACTTTACACCCGATCCATTGGACATGGCTCCGCATCCAGATTATAAATCCAATAAATATTTCTTATCTTCACATGAAACCTCATTACTCTCCTCCACATTGGATATTTCTGAAAAGGCAAAAACAAAAAAAACAAAAAAAAAAACAGAATCCTGCTTGGTTTTGGGTTTCGCATACAGTAATGGAATACATTGGGCCTAATGGGTTGCAAGTGACTCACGATGAGTCGAGTTTTTATTTTTTATTCGAATAACGCTGGAAAAATAGAACCAGATTCGAATAACACTAGCTTCTAGTCTCAGATTTGGTCTCTCAATAAAAGGATTATGGCTCGGCTGTCTTCTCATAAGTCTCCGGAGTTCAAATCAGTGGATCAACCACTTACTCTTTAGCCGTCTGGTTAACGAAGCTATTCATTATGAGATCGAAAAATCTGCTTAAAATATAGTTGAATGATACGATAGATAGATCTTCTATGTTTACCATATAGTACAAGTTTTTATTTTTTCACAGTATAAACACAATGTATGCATTTTGGTATAATTAAATAAAGTATTAATGCGTTGAATTGAACGTATAGCTACAATTCTGCAACCGAGCTTCTCAAATAAAATATTAGAGACGAATAAGTAAAGTAGTAAACCCTTTGGAGGAAAATAAGACTTGTGTGTTTGTGATTCTCGAAAGCTTAACAAAATTAGAATCAAAGTGTTTTATCATTTTATTTTATTTTACAGAAAAAGGAATAAGGCTTTTAAGCTTCAATCAAACAAAGCTTATAGCTGAAGACGTTGAGAACTTGTTTTCACATAAAGCAAAAAAAACAAAAGATGAAACTTGTTCGTCCTTTATTGTACATCCAAAAGACTAAAATTATGCCCATAATGTTTTCTTTTGCCTTTTATATTCATTTTACATTATATATGATCCTCGTTTCTTTTGGCGCATGGCATAGCTTGTCAAACTATATTACAAAATTGATTCCAATTGATCCACAATTGAAACTAGTGATTCGATATATCAGGTAGAAGCTAATTTGATTTGAAATATATTCCAAGTTTATGCTAGCTTTCTCATCTAATATTCAATATTCCAAACTATTTATGTAGTTTAAATCAATGATTTTTATTTGTTAGGTACAATGAATGCGAAACCATTATAACATACCATTTTCACTTTGTTGGTTAAGAACAAGGATGAAATGTTATTAGATTCAAAAAGTTAGCTACTCAAATTTACATGAATCTAAATTTTTTGTTATGATTTTTGGCTAATTGGAAAGTTGTGAACCAAAACTCATACATCTCCCTATCAGACTCTAAATAAATTCCTCCCAAGCCTATAAATGAATCTAAGTTACATATTAAAGGACTATGGACGGAGGGAGGCTTTCGTTGAGCCCAAGACAAAGGATCTAGCCGAGAAAGAATTGTTCGCAAAAAAAAAAAAAAAAAAAAAAAAGAAAAGAAGAAAGAATTGCTCGCATGAATTCTTAAAAGAGAGAGAGATGGTGTGCACCCTGACATAATTGCGTTTTCCAAATAGCATACAGAGTAATTGCATCGCTAATAAAAATGGAGATGGAGACCGTGGCCAGTGAAGCATCTCATTGAAGTCCTTGTAGTGAAGAAAGCCCATATTTCCATACTATAGTTTCAAGCTAAGAAAAAATGTTGTCGTTGCTCCTCTACCATGCATGCTATGTTCTTTGGCTTGTACTTCTGAGAAAACCAACCGTTTCAATACGGTACTATCCGGGAAAGAAAAAAAAACCTAGTAAATAGTACATACGTAGTCGGTAGTACAGCAAACTTACACATGGGAATTCAAATAACCGGCTAATCATGCATGGGACCTCTTCAGTGTCATATCGATTTTGAGATCTTGGGTAAGAATTCAATTCTTGCATATAATTTTAGTGACATTTGATAGATTAGACACATAAATGTCTTTATGATAAGTTTTTGAATAAATATTTTTTCTTTAAACATGAATGATGTTGAATGTCATATTGGCATATATCTATCGGTATATAAAACTAAACCATATCTGTATATTCAAATCATAAAGTAGGAGGCAGTGGGCCGGTTGTTAACTGGCTTCCACTACCAAATTTTCATAATATATAGTTCTAATCGAACGAATAAAAAGTTGAATCCATAGTCACACATTTTATACATGGATATGTACGAACATAAATACATTTCATATAAGAAACTTTTTTTTGTGCAACCATATAAGAAACTTAAATCAGGGTTTCTAAATAAATTAAACTCGATCCGATTAGTCTCTCAAAAAGATCTGGTTTATGTCAGTGTTATCACTTCTTCAATAATTTTTATGTTTTATGAAAGTAGTTAAAACTTAAAAATGTGTAACTGAATACGATACATATATATAATAAATTTATTTGCAGGTAAAGATTATGAGTCATCGATATAATTATGATATGTGAACTGACCGATTTGATCTGAGAGACAACTTGTTTATATCGTATAATTCATTATGAAATAAACACAAACACAAAGTTTAAATAGATAACTAAAACATTTTTGTTTCTTATGTTCTAGTAATACAGGATAACATGAATAGAGTAAGAAAAAAAAAATAGTAAATACAAATTGACTTACCAAATATCATTTAATTAGCATCTTGGAATCAGAAACAGCTAAGAACTTCATCTTACCATATTTGATAAGTGATTAACAAAGAAGGCACCAACAGAAAAAAAATATGTATATTTATATATTCAAGAACAAGGACAGGAACAAAAGGTTCTTCAACATAATAACAACCCATATCTGCTAAATTCAGCAATAAACCCCCTACGAAATATCAAATCAAAAGACAAAAAAGAAGAAAAAGAAGAAGAAGAAGAAGAAAATACATTAACATTATTGTCATGATGCTTTAGAGTCTTCAAGCTGAATTTAGCATATGTTCCCATCCGTCTTGACAACCACAACCTTCTCTCTTTAATCACCTATATAAAATTAAAAACAAAATTTTGCTTAATGATCACATATATCTATATATATATATATGTTTCTTTTCTAAAATAGAGCCTATTAATTTTTATGATAGATAATCCCATTTTTTCTAAGCCCTAAATCATTCTTGCTTTTGTAATTGGTCCCCCTACAGCACCATTGTTGCCTCTGCCAGCCTTTGAAGAGTCACCTTCTTCTTCCATCTCTACTTTTTCTCCAAGTCATGATTCAATCTTTGATCATGACTTGCGAATTTTATTTTATTTTTTATTATTATTTTAACCATTATTGATAAGTATTTTGATGCAAAGAACCGTAAGATATACGTTCATCTTCTCTACCTGAAATTGTTGCCCCCAAACGTTGGTGTCCAAAAATCGGCGGTTGTTTCATTTGCCACCGGAAAAGTACTTGATATCGGGACGAGACACAGACCGTGTGCTCTTAGTTCTTGATTGTCGCTTCCATCTTGATTCTTCGATTTGCCAGATATCTAATATATAACATTCCATACTTAATTAAACATGAAAATTCCAAAGAAGGAAAAAAAATTATTAATTGGACAAAACTCGAATACTATATAAATCGAGTAATAAACCTGTTGTTGTTGTTGGATCGAGGCACCTTGTTTCATGTATGGAGTGCTTAGAACCTAAAATTAGAAAGATTAGTATGCTTAATAGTTGATAATTAATTTCTAGGGTTTCTCGAATAAAATTATTTAGGAGATAAATCATGAATAACGTACTGTGACTTGGTCGTGAAGGAACTTGATGTACTCTATAGCTTCTTGGAGAACAGACGCAGTATCTGTCTGAAAATTAAGCCAAAGACAACAAATAAATAAATAAGCGCAATACATTAACCTAAACAAGAAGAAGAAGTAATCATTTTTTGTCTGTATATGTTATATGCAAAATAAAAAAAATAAACACATAAATCATTCACCTTTCCGAAAGGTGAAACTAGCTGTTGTAATGAAGTAATCTGGTCCCTTAGATTCTCTTTTCTCACCTGTTACATTAACAATCCAATTTATCCACCAAGAAATTTAATTAAAATAAAAGGTTAGAAACAAATCTTGATTGATAATTATGTACCTTAAAAGTTGGCAACGGTGAAGGCGTGGTAACTCTCGGTTTCTTAGACGCAGATTCATTATCCTTTGCTCTCTTCAAAGACTCGCTCTGACCTCTTGCCTTCTGATTCTTCAACACAAAAAAAAAACTCAATAAATTAGCCATAAAACTTATTAATCACCACGTTTCGACAGATATGCGATTTACCTTGGTTTTGTCCTCAAGACGAGTAGAGATCATCTGTGGAGTGGTTACAAAACTGTTCTGCGTTGTGTTGTTTAAGTTAGTGGTTGATGAAGAACTCCAAAAGGGTCGAGAGTTTGTGTTGTTAGGGAAGTTGTTAATTAGTCCATAAGCAGGTTGATGCTGAGGATTTGTCTTGTTATTAGTCCAAGAGAGTTGGGGATCGTTGATTGAACAACTAGTGGTGGAGACAAAGTTGTAAGGACTCGATTCGGGATCATAAAAGCTTCGTAACAAGCTTGGGGAAGAAGAAGTTGATGAAGATGAAGAACAAGCTGGATTAAGAAGATAAGGTGAAGTAGTTGTGGATAAGAATCCTTGGCTATGATCTTGGTCTTGTGAGCTCCTTATGAAGCTTGAGTTTAATTCTTCTTGTCTGAAAAACACGAAGCAAGAATCATTAATAGAAGATTTCAATACTATTTACATAACAACTAGAAGAATTAAAAAACAAGAACTAAGTTAGGGTTTTTCTTAAGAACTTTACAAAATGGTTTGGTTCCAGTCCGAAGAAGAGTTTGAGGAAAACCCTAGACCCATCATCTGCAACGTCGAGTCAATCGTCACGGTGCTTCCTCCACTGTCGGAATCCGCCTCTCGCTGCCCAAAAACGATGTTGTTGTCCGTACAATTCATCCTAGATTTGAGATTGTTCTCTTGAGAGCCAAAATCATTGGAAGTGATTGCAGCTCCAAAACAAGGAGACAAGAAGTGATCCGAAGGAGACATAACACTCCTCGGCGAGTTCCACCACGCACCGCTTCCGCCGCCGCAAATTGCTGCCGTTGCTTGAAACTCCTCAGCCATATAAACAGAATCAGATAGTTGTAAGGCAAAGGTCAAGAGTTTATATGAGTGTGTGGTATTTGATACGAAGAGCATTAATGTGAAATTTTGATATATGTTTTATGGGGATGTGTATGTTTATATAGGCAAGTACGGACAAGTGTGTGGAAATTACCGGAATTTAGTTGACATTTGAAACAGTTTTAGACAAAAACTATATCATCATAACATTCCCAAGTGATTTTTAAAAGAATAAAAATTGATCGTGCTTTTTTTTTATAAATTTTGTAGGTTAAACATTTTTTTTGTTAAAGTATAGATATAATATTATATTTGAAACAAAGATGTTGTAATAATAGAGTGTTCCTAATCCCTCTATTTTTTCTATTATTTTAATATCAACTGTCTGTGTGAAATTTGTTTCTTTGCTGCTTAGCTTTTCTAAGAAGCGATAATTATCCTCTTATTTTAATTAACTAAATATTTAATTTGAGATTAGATAGATGTTTGGTATTATGCAAGATGCCAAAAGGGGGATAATATTTACATTAGACAATATATCTAACGGTAACCTAAGATTGGTTGACATCAAAACTCTAAAAGTCGATAGTTTACTAAGTGGTCGGAAATAGAAAACATGTCATGATTTTGATTATATCAGTTTAGAGGTGTTATTCAATAATATATTTTCATAGAATTTTCCGACCCAAAAACGATTTTAATAGACTTTAAATTTAAACATAATTTGATGCTATTTATTAATTCTAGTTATGTATTAAAATTAAATAATACGGTGCTATTGATCATTGTCAACAAATCATGTTTTAAAGTTTTTAAAGTGTGGTGTTATTCATGTAATATTTTTAAATATTTCATTAAAATGTAAATTTTGGTTGTATATATATATATAATATGTGTGTATATATTAAAACATTTGTATATAAGATCGTAGAGATTATTAAATAATCTCCAAAATATACTACAAATTTCTTTAGAATCCAATGAGTTTAGAAAACTCTTATCAAAAAATTTTGAACACCAACAAATCACAAACAAACGTGTACCCATTGAAATAGTAGTATAAAATAAGATTTGTTCTTGTGGCTTGAGACTAAAGGGATAAATGGTATATGATGACGATCGTCGATCGATGCTGAGTTTTGATCTGTGTGTCACGTCACCGTTTCTGGACCTATTGTGTTTGTGACTTTTTCCCCCAATCTCTTTATACCAAACGGTCCATATTCTTTTCAAGTAGCTTTTCCAAATTCCGTAAATATTTTATTCTTCTGATATGTATGATAAGTCAATCAATTATTGCACTTAACTAATAACAAGTCATAGTTTTTATTTTCCCTCCTTTCTTAATTTTATTGTTATTATTAATATTTCCGTTTGATGCGAGAGCAACACATATTATAAAATTGCATTTGTTAAATCTGATAATGGTATAACTCTATTTGTTGCTATGCTTAATGATCATACCACTCGAATCATAGTGAACCGGGCTGTGTCACCGTCGAGAAAAAAATGAGAATGCTTTGTCTATAAAAGATATTCGATTTGTATCCAAACAAATCATGTACATAATATTCGTATATATACAATCGATCTATTTTTAATGTATCATGTTATTAATTCAAAAAAGTTATATTCAAATATAATTGTTGGTTAGGACATAGAATCAATGTTTAACCGTGTTATACCAACGGTAGATATGTGATACGATAAAAAAATACATACTTTTTCACTGAAAGAATACTCGTTAAATATTTAAAAAACTACTAAATCCACTAAAAAACTACAAATAAATAAAAGAAATATTTCATCTGTTCAGAATTATTTGATGTTTAAGGTTTTTGCACATAGTTTAAGGATTCATTTAATTTTTATTTTTCCTATATTAAAAATATTATTTATAATTCATTTAAATATCATTCAGCCAATAAGAAGACAATCTGCAGAATATAAAAGGTCAAAAACTATAAAGATTCATTAAATTTTGCATTGAAAACTGAGAACATTAAATAATTATGAACAAAAAAAACTTTCTAGAACAGAGAAAGTATATTGTAACAACAATATAATATATATATATATATATATACTAAAATTCATCATTTTCAATGTTAAAAAAAATGATCAAATGAAGCTGGTGTTGTTTTATTGGATAATGGATAATGGTCATTAATGGTTATTCGAAACCAAGCGTAATTTGTATTCCAATGGTTTGGGAATTTATGTGTATGTGTGCTACCGTCTTGGATTCAAATCTGTCTGGCCACCATTCTACAATTAAATCAGCAAATTGTTGATGTGTACTTCGATTGTTGAGTCGTTAGTGATTAGTCTTGGACCTATAAAGTTTTCGGATACACTAGTTTATCAAAGAAAAAAAAATGGTTATTCAAAAAAACTACAACTTAAAAGGTCACAAATAATCTAATTATTTCTTAAACTAGTAATAGATTAATCTAAAAGTATGCCTAATGGTCTCTCTCTGCGACACAATGTATTGACTTAAAGAGCTTCGAAGCGCTGAAATATATTAGTTAGGTCAGATCCATGCGACTAGTAAGATTTTATAAGCCAAAAAACAAAAATTTACGATAAGCTAGAAAGAGTCAAAACCAATTTGATCATATTGTTTAAAAAACCCATGAGTGCAACCAGCCAAAAAAAATTGAAACTCTTAATTAATTAACTATATAATCGATTCTTCTATTTTTAACACTGATTTATTTACAAGGATGACTTTACAATTAACAGTTCAATTAATTTTAACAGTTCAATTAATCTGTATAAATATTAATAATCACATTCTTTGGGATTTGAAATCCAATTTTTCTGGTGTAAAAACATTAATGAACTATTAGTTAATCATTGGAACAGGAGAGCTTTCACATGTTAATATTTTTTTTTGGTCGAACATGTTAATATTTCTTAATGTCTAATAACTTTTTATGCACCCATTTGTTTAGTTTTGGTTGATATTATTTGTTTGTTTTGAACTCTAAAATGTGTCACAACCAGCGAATGACGACCTAAACTAGATCCGAAGAATCTTTGTCAGTCCATCGGATTCTTTCTAACGGTCTGGTCACCCTCCTCTAGGCTTTTCTCAATAGACACTTGTATTTCTATCATTATCGGACACATGAATGCGCCACATACACAAAAACTAAAATTATTGAGTCTTTCATATGTATTTCTCGGGAGTTATTTGTTATCTGATCATCAGAGCCGCATAATTTGTCTCATATCTCAAATAATTTGTCTCATGTGCAAGTGTACATAATTTTGGACGTAGTATAAATTGATTACGAATAAATGAGATTCATGCACTCGTGTTAAGACGAACTTAGTTGACGATGAAAAATCCATTACTCCAAGATACGTATGTAATATTGCTATGTACACAAATACAATGAGATACGCAATATAGACACGTATATATCATGTATAGATGCAATATGAACATGTAAGAAATTGAAAAGTAGGTGAGGGAAAACGACAAGTAGTCAACAAATTGGGACCCACACGGCAAATATGAGTGGATACTTTGTTTGGCGCAGATAGTCGGATAAGTGTCAGCGACTCATTCTTTTCTTCAAACCCCCAAATCATCATTTCTCCTAATAATTTTTCAACTTATTTTCTTCAAACAATCAAACATTTTAAATTTTCGAAACCGAGGTTATATTTTTTGTTTGGTTTTGTTTATGATAACAATTGTTTTAACACGTAAGTAACGTCATGCCGCTTCTCAGACGCAAGAGAGCTCACAAGTAATTATTATTTCATGTAGTTTACATAAGTTCAAATATAAAATACAACTAATCAAGATAGAGTCTATAAAAAAAGAGTCTAGTATGATACTGTATGAAATAAGAAACAACCAGTTGCATTAGTTTGATTTTGTCGACACAATCAATAAAATTATTCTAACGCCCCATATAACAAAGTGCGATTCTACATACTCCTTTTAATTTTTTGGTTTAAGCAAGCACAAGCTTAGTTTTTAGAAACTAAACATATATAATTTTATAGGAATTGGTTGTGATTTGTAACACGGCAAACTTAAACTTTGTCAAAAAAAAAAAAAAACACTGCAGGATAAAACGTAACCACTAAAAATGAAATAAATATACGAGATAGAAGGACTAGATTTTTCTTTTTATTTTACATCAAATGACTAGGTTATTAAGCAAAAAAATCCTGAACTAATGCAGATACCGTAAAAACCATAAAAAATTCTAAAAAATATTTAAGTTTGTCATTAATTGAGCAGGATGTCTATACATAAGTTGTGGCAAAAAATTTTGATGTGTAAAAACTCGTGAAATTACGTCAATATGTTATTATTTATGTATATAGGCAGATAAACAATTGGAACCATCATTCATTATATAATTTAATTGCTATTCTCGTATATAAAATAAAATCAATGTTATTTATAAATATATTACAATTTTACAACACAGAGAATGTCTGCTTTATTTTAGTGATGGACTGAAGTCACTAAATAGTAACATATAAACAAGACATGCTCGATGTGTACTTCTCTTATGAAATGTCAGTTCTACGTCCGATATTACATCTTCACATATCAGTAGTATTAATTTAATCACTTTGTAAGATATCTCCTATATGCAGGATGTCATGCTGACGTAAGGATGAGATGCAGAAGATTACAAAACAAGAATACATTTTTTGCACGATTACAAAACGATGATACGATCGAAATCATCATGGGCGGGACAGACACGTGGGGTAGTGAACTCCATGTATATTAATAGAGAAAAGAAAATGTCTTCTTACAAAAAAAGAAATATTTAGCAATGACGGTCAAAAGAAAAGCGCTTAGATGACTTACGGTTAGTTTAAAATTTCAGTCTTTATATGAGTACGAAAGATCAGCATAATGTTTTACTATTGGTAATTTTATCAATTCCAAGTGATCATCTGCCACTTAATTCTCACGATACATCGACGCCACAAGAGCAATATCACAGCCTTTGTGTAGTGTTTGATGACATATCTATGACATAGTTCTAACTTCTAATGCTTGTACTTGCATTTACATGTGACATACGA